ACAACTAGATCGCTTCACACAAATCACAGACGTTAGGAGAGTAATTACAGCATTTTGCATGGATTGGTTGGGAGGAGAAAGGGAAGGATGGGTAGCCAAAGTCACATGGGGAGGGGACAGGGTTGGTGGATCTTGCGATTTGGAAGACTTGAGGGATTACAATTTAGTTTTCAAGGATTGGATTCATGTGGAACCCTCATTCCCCTTCCGCCCCCCCACAGACTTTCCAGACCCTTTTCCTCCCCATGCTCTCTCTTTGATGGATATTCTGGTATAAAAGATGGTTTTTTAAATCTTTCAATTTTCTCCCTGGGGCAGGAAAAGGAACGAAAGGAGGTCCCACCGGTGCCCCCCAGTGGCTCTTTCTGTCCTTCCGCATGGCACCCAGGCAGGCAATGGGACGACTGGACCCGTTTTTTTTCCAGCTGGCATGGATTCAAGGGATTCAATGGTCTCAATACGGTCCAAGGGAAGGGAAGAACTAGTGTGTAGCGATGTATCTGGCGCCGGTTTTAGGGCGAAGAGGTCCCCCCTTCCTCCCAATATCCTGCTCAGTCAATCCCCTGGATCCCAGGGTAATCAATGCTGGCAGGATCATCTCACAAATTCCTTTTTCCAGATGTATTTCATGCTCAGTCCGTCTGTATACTGGATGCTGGACCCGCTTTCCAGCAGGTGATGCTCCCCACTAATAGATGGAGCCTCTCCCCGGGTGTTAGTGGTGTCTGCTCTTACCAGCACCACTAACACTGGCTGGGAATTGTGTTTAAAAAAAAAAAAAAAAACGCTTCTGGTGGAGCCGTGGCAGGTACAGCAAGGGGGCATACTGGTGACCCCCATCTCGCTCCAACCCATTTCACTGGATCGAGGAGGAAAGGGCATGGAGGGTGAGAGGACTAAAAAGAGATGAGTCTTGGTATGTCTTCCATAAGGGCGAACAAATGAAGAACCTTCCCTCGATCCTGATGAATCGAAGTGCAAAAGAAGGGACAGGAATCCGTAGTGGACCTCTTCAGAATGAAGGTCAAAAGACTCAAAACCTCCTATAAGGCTATATAAGATGTTGTTTAAGAAGGGGGGCTTGGTGACCAACAGGCCTAGCTCAGTCATCGCCCTTTCAGAAGAAGAAAAAAATCAAAGTACTTGGTGGATCACATAAAAGACCACTGGGACCAAAGGGGGCCTAGCTCAGTTGGTACACCCGTGAGCTGTTGAAATAGAGACCCAAGTTCGAATCTTGATGCAACCAGATGTCCAAAATAAAATCATTCTGAATTACCTTACCTGGGGCTGTTCAATTCAATGATGCCATCTCAAGGTCGTTGCTTCTTTCTTTTTCTTTTTTTTTTTTCCTTGTTTTTTTCTTTTTTTTTTTAAACCACTAGTACCTTTGCCATCCTGTTTCGACAAGTTTTAGCCTAGTCTCGAACTTTTAGGAGGCTGGTCCCGACAACGGCTGCCGTTGATAAATCTGATTGGCGGCCGTTGTTTCATTTCAGCTCGGCCTCCTGAAAGGTCGGAGGCCCACTATTTTCCGAACGGACAAAGGTACTACTGCTTTAAGACAGACAGACAGAGAGAGAGAGAGAGAGAGAGAGAGAGAGAGAGAGAGAGAGAGAGAGAGAGAGAGAGAGAACACCGCTGGGCGAACCACCTAAACACACAGAACCTTCCTGAAGGGAATCCGTTCTTGTACAGACTACAAAAGCAAACCAGCAAAGGCATCAGCCCTCCAGCGGCGGCTACCTAGCACACAGATGGTTATGGATGAGGGACTGGATGATTGGCCACACGCAGCATGACCAAAAGGGCATTCTGTGGCCCTGGTGCAAATGCTGCCAAGCTGGCCTCACCCACAGAAAATCAGAGAAAAAGTAGAGCACGTGTTTCTCACTTGCCCCAGGGCAGTACTCCTGTGAATATGGTGAGATAGAACACGGAGATGGCTAACGGGGCAGCCCAGCTGGCCATGGGACTGGAGAGCCACACACTGCCCAAAATACAAGGGGGAAGGGCTTACAGCAAACTGGTTCTATGAATTCGCTAGAAAGCCAGTATATGTGAAACAGCTTCAGTCAGGCGGTTAGTGTAGTCGCCTTGAAAGTTGTAACAAGTTGAAGGTAGAGTCTGTGCTATGTAGAGATACATAGAGTGCTAGTAGTGTATGTATAGTACTTGTATACTGACCAACAACAGGCTGGAGCAGGCTAGTGGCCAACATAACAACTATTCAGTCCCTATCTACCGTTGGTGAAGACCATTAGATCCACCCATGAGTGGAAGGATATCATGGCGGAAGGCCCAGAAGTATAGGAGAAAATCACAGCATTTATCCAATCTAATATACTGATGGAGTGGCAATCCACAATGGAAAACACTAAAATAGTCTAACTGTCAAACGAACCTAAGGAAAGGGAAGCTAGAACAAAAATGACTTTGAAGCAGAATGCCTGAGCAAGTTACCTAAACTTAATGGCTAATTGAGGGGGATGCATCGAAGCCGCACGGGATGCGCTTGGCCTTTGAGGATTGGACCAGCACTTAGAGGCCTCATACTTTTTTTTGTTTTCTTTTGTTTTTTTGTTTTCTTTTGTTTTTTTGTTTTCTTTTGTTTTTTTGTTTTTTCCCTCGTTCTCATTGAGATCCCTTCCCTGCTGCGGACAACTCTTTTTTTTTTTTTTTTTTTTAAGCCCAGGTTGTTGTAGAGGTGGGATACTAGACCAATGACAGTTACCCACTGCGGACAACCCTTTGGTGGATCTGGACCGGTGTGGAAGAGGGTAAATAGGTCCAGACTCCAGAGTGAGTACAAAAGAAAGCCCTGCTAAAATTGTAGGCCCATTCCGGCAGCCCTAAAAAGGGCTGAAGAGCCAGGCTTCCATTTCTCATTTTGCACGAAGCACTGGCAATTAACCCCCTGGCCTCCCCAGGCCAATCAATGTTCAGTAATGTTTTCCTATGGGACGCTGGGCCCGGTTCCCAGCACAACGAGGGGAACAAAAAAAGAAGATCCTTCCCTCACTGCAATCTGCCCTCCTCCATCGCTGCCCCGCCATTTCCCACAGCAGGAGCATGTCATTTCAATGCTATCTTCTTGCGAGTTCGTTCTTGGACAAAGGTGTTCACTGGATAAAACTATTTGAAGAAAAAGTTGCTCATGTCTGAGGTGCATTCCCTGATGTGTGGATGTTACATCTTCGACGCCACACGGGTCCTACCGGACCCGACTTAGGGCTAGAGGGACACATCAGGGCCTAAAGGCCCGACCTTGGGGGTACTACAGGCCATAAAGGCCTCACCTTGGACCAGACCCGACGGGCAGGCCCAAACRACATTACCGTTTGGGCCTGGCGGCGCTCTTGAGGCTGCCGCCCGCCGGTTGGGGCTGAGCCGTCCATCTGGACGGTTCAGGGCACGGCCAGGCCTCGCAGCATTGAGG